TTTTTCCATCGTCTCCATTCCTCTTTGGTGATTGGGTTTTGAGCGGACCCACGTGGGAACTAAATTATTTAAAATTAGTATTATTATATAAATTATTTAGTATATGAATAAATACTTGCTGCTGTATTAACAATTCCTATAATAGCATTAGATGATGCTAGCAGTGTAGATTCAGGCGTAGATGAACTTTCTTGATTTTGTGTAATAGTTGTAAGCGCTTGTTGTAAAGTACTTGGATTTGTTAATAATTGGAGTAATAAAGCAGTGATGTCCATTTTCTGTAAAAGTTATCGTGTATTAACAAATTTTCTTTTAAAAAAAGACCTTCGATAAATATAGATTTGAAAGTTTAGAAAAAATAAAAACGGACCTTATTAAATATATATTATATCAATCATTTAATCATTTATTATCGTATAGCTTAAGAGTCTAATTAATATATTAATTAATTAATTAATTAATTAAAATATTTGACTATAATAATATAAAAATCACCTGATTGACCAAGATACATATGCATAAAGAATCAACATTAATATGTAAATTGTTATTGTATATACGTATGTAAAAAGGCGGTGATCGATGTCATTGCTGTAGCATGTGGTTTTGCGTCATAGGAAGCTATATACTTTAAAATAAAGAATATATTTAATACGTATATATATTGTTTGATAAAAATCTCGATATAATAAAAATAAAAATACATACTGCGGCAGTGATATCAATTATTAACCTGGGGCTACCCTGGTGAACTCTTTAAAAGTGAGATAAAATTATATTGAATAACGATAATTAATATAATTGGGTTAATTATAATAATCAACTTAAATTATTATAAAAACAGTTCTAATCAAATAACTTACCAAATTTACTTATAAATTTATATGTTATCTATATCAACTTGTAATTATTGATAAAATATGTAGATTATAAATGCTATTAATAATTGTTTAGCATTCTACGAATTCGTATTTATGTATTTAAAAAAAAAAAAATTCAAATTAAAAAAGAAAGAAATTAAAAAGCCATAACGATAAAATTTGTAGATTATAAATACCATTGATATTTAAGTTTAGCAGTCTACGAATTCGTATTTATGTATTAAAAAAAAAAAAAAAATTCAAATTAAAAAGAAAGAAATTAAAAAGCCATAACAATAAAATTTGTAGATTATAAATACCATTAATAATTAAGCTTAGCAGTCTACGAATTCATATTTTTGCTATTAAAAAAAAAAAATTAAAATTAAAATTAAAAAAGAAAGAAATTAAAAAGCCATAACGATAAAATTTGTAGATTATAAATACCATTAATAATTAAGCTTAGCAGTCTACGAATTCGTATTTATGCATTTAAAAAAAAAAAAATTCAAATTAAAAAGAAAGAAATTAAGAAGCCATAATAATAAAATTTGTAAATTATAAATACCATTAATAATTAAGCTTAGCAGTCTACGAATTCGTATTTTTGCTATTAAAAAAAAATAAATAAAATAAGAAGCTATAGTGATAACGATAATTAGAAAATAAAAAATAAAAATCTATTTATATCAGTATATGTATATACGTACGTACATATGTACTTGAGCTGTAATATCAGATTTTTTTTTTTAAAGTTTACTTTTTAATATTAAATATAGTTTAATTAAATATATACCTGTATGCTGAAAATCGATCGATATAAGTATAACAAGCTTAAATCAATATATATATACTTGCATATATAGAAATTGACTTGGAAAATACTGCGGCTTCAGTATCTATGACATTACAGTGTAAAGTGAAAAATGGGCCTAGGTCATCATTGAGATAGCTCAGGTCAATTCGCTCAAATAGGTTAAATCTCAAATATGCTATATAGCAAAATAATAGATATCAGATATAATATAGATACAGTATACATATTAGTAAAATTAGATACGTAGTAACGAAATATGCATAAAGACATAATATTTTACCTTGAATAAAGAAATAATAAAGAGTTTGACACTTGAAGAGTTTGAAACTTGACAAGTCCTAATTTAAGTATTTCTTGACAATACATAGTCTAGAGCATTAAGACTAATTATGCAGTAGTAGTAGTGTTAGCTGCTAGCTGTTATTAGTGTAACCATTATAGCACCGAAACTAGGTTTCACAATTATAATATATGAATACCTAATATTTTTAGTATGTTGTACACATATAGTAAATCAATAGCTAATACGAAGTAAAGGGAGGAAAAATAAGAACTAAAAAAAATAAATTAAATTAAATTAAATTAAAAGAAATAAAAGAAAGAAATATTAGATTTATCGAACTACGAACTCGTAACTTGCTAAATTTAAATCCAAAATAAAAGTATAGAAAGCAGCAAATATGAAATAAAGGAAGGAAAATAAGATAAAACTAAAAAAAAAAAAGAGAGAAAGAAAGAAAAAAAGAATAAATATTAGATTTAGTGAATTACAAATTCGTAATTCGCTAAATTTAAATCTAAAATAAAAGTATAGAAAGCAACAAATAGAAATAAAGGAAGGAAAATAAGATAAGAACTAAAAAAAAGAGAGAAAGAAAGAAAAAAGAAGAAATATTAGATTTAGCAAACTACGAATTCATAATTCGCTAAATCTAAATTCAAAATGAAAAGGAAAGTTCAAATAGGAAAAAATAAAAAACTTCTAAAGGTTGACCTTTGAAAGAGAAAGAGAAAGAGTAGTGACGTTAAAATCAGAAATTTCTTTTATATCAAAATAATTTACTAATTAACTATATGATTATATCATTATGATTTGTCACATGCACATGTGTTTAAAAAAATCACTTGGCAGTTAAAAGTAAATTTCTAAATACGTTGTAGTAGCAGTTAAATCTATATTTGGGATCAACCTGATAAAATCTGGTCCATGCATGTAAATAATCGATTTTGTATCAAATATACCTACTGGTATATATCGATATAGCAGATATATATATATGTACTTTTTTTTAATTTATTTATTTATTTTCGTTATTTTTTTTAGTGAAAATTAATTTAATTTGATTTTTTTTTTTTTTTTTAGGCTAAAATTAAGTTTAATAATTATTTTGATATTATTATAAAAAAAAAAAACATGCCTAAGTCAATTGATTTCAAAAATGAGAATTGTGCTTATATAAATTTAAGGCGAAGGCGATAATTGATACCGTAGATGGAGTATTTAATCGACAGATGTAGTATTCAATTGATAGATGGAGCATCAATTGATGGATGGAATTCTGTAACGTAAAAATATTAAAAATAGATCGTAATCAAAATCAAAGAGAATAATATCTTTAAAGGACGTAACAGATAGAGTGGATGGTTACGACTCTTATGTGCGAGGTGGGGCACATTAGAACCCTTTTGAGACTTTAATTTAATCTAGCATCCAACTGGCATAACAGTATTATAGTGTACGAAAGATTAAAACTTGCCAGAATAAGATATATAAAATTAAGAAAGCTTTCTAGCACTATTGCATTCAAAACTTTTAGCAGATTCTAAGAAAAATTCTCAGAATTTTTTGAATGAGATAATTAAATCATTGTATGGTTATTAAACATATTGAATTAATTCATTTCTATAAATTTACAAAGTTTGACAATCATGCAAAGTGTAGGTTATATGGTATAAGGGTCGAAATAAATAAATACTAGATGCTATTTCAAAAAAATAGAAGTTTTTATAAATAAAATTCGATCTTTAAATTAAGATTATTTGAAGGTATTTCAAAGATTTAGATAAATTCATAAGGCAGGATATATTCATACAGACTTTCATAATGATAGCATAAATATATTAGTTATTCATACAGACTTTCATAATGGTGGCATGAAGATATTAGTAAGAGTTTGCAATCTTACTATTTGATTTGATAATTAGGTAATAATAACTCTTCAGATTTAGCAAGATACGAACTCGTAGATTGCTAAGTATAGTTACGTAATTAGAGTATTGCGTATCTATAGCTAAATTCAAATAATTGTTATATATTTAAATAGAATTTATCTTATCTGCTTTTCTCTTATTCTTTTCTCACTTGTGTGTAACTTCCAAGGTATATATTTTTTTATTTATTATTCTTATTATTATTAAATATAATTTATTAATAAAAAATATATATTATATATATATAATTTAATATTTATTAATTGATAATTAGGCAATAAATAACTCTTCAGATTTAGCAAGATACGAACTCGTAGATTGCTAAGTATAGTTACATAATTAGAGTATTGCATATCTATAGCTAAATTCAAATAATTGTTATATATTTAAATAAAATTTATCTTATCCGCTTTTTTCACTTGTGTATAACTTCCAAGGTATAATTTTATTTATTTATTACTTTTATTATTATTAGTTTTTTTTTTTTATTATTAAATATAATTTATTATATCAATTTTTATATATATGTTACTATAATTTAATATATTTATTAAATAATAATAGTTCTTCGGCTTTAGCAAGGTACGGACTCGTAGACCACCAAGTCTAGTTGCGTAATTAGAGTATCACATAGTCTGTAGTTAAATTTCAAATTATTATTATTATTTAAATAGAAACTTTTTTTTCTTACTCTCATCTGTGTGCAACTTCAAGGTATAATTTTATTTATTTATTACTTTTATTATTATTAGTTTTTTTTTTTTTATTATTAAATATAATTTTTTAATATCAATTTTTATATATATGTTACTATAATTTAATATATTTATTAATTTGGTAATAATAGTTCTTCAGCTTTAGCAAGGTACAGACTCGTAGACCGCCAAGTCTAGTTACGTAATTACTGTATCGCATAGTCTATAGTTAAATTTCAAATTATTATTTTTATTTAAATAGAAATTTTCTCTTACCGCTTTTCTCAACTCTTAAAGGTATATATTTATACTAATGATTCTTTCTTTTTATTATTAATTAAATAAAATTACTAATAATTTGATTTTAATACTTATTATTTGACAATTATATGCAAATATTTTAAATAAATAGAAAGTATGGACGACTTAATACGAGCTATATATTTACTATATTCTTACAATGCTGAACAATATATTCGTCAAATTCGATTTCTTAATAAAGAAGTTAAAATAACATATATAAACGATACCAAAACATGTTGTTTTTTTCAAGAAATTGGAGATACTAGTAATTTTCATAAAAATTTAATATCCCAATTAGATTCGATTATTAATATTAATGATATTAATAATGCTCCAAATGAAAACAATAATATCTTAAATGTGAAATATGAAGAACTTTACTCTTTTTCTTGTAAGTATGCTGTATTCAATTATTAATTATTGATATATAATCTTTATTGAATAACTTCAACTTTGTTAAGGTAAAGAAATAGTGCAAATGGATAATGCTAATAAAAACAGTAAAGTAATGCAAGTGGATAACAGTGGTGATGTTGAAGATGAAGATCATGAGGAAAACGAAGAAATAATGCAAGAAGTTGAAGATCACGAGGAAAGTGAAGAAATAATGCAAATAGATAATGTTAATAAAAATAGTAAAGTAGCGCAAGTGGATAATGGTAGTGATGTTGAAGGCGAAGGTCATAAGGAAGGTGATGTTGAAAGCGAAGGTCATGATAAAGGTGATGAAAAAGGTGATAATGAAGAAGACGATGAAGGTAGTAAAGAGAGTAATGAAGGAAGTGATGAAGATAAGAATGAAGATGAGGATAATGATAATGAATGAAATATTAAGCGACAACGTAAATCTATAATTTTAATTAGTTTTATTAGCTTAAAAAAAAAAAAAAAATACTTACTTTAATTTTAATTTTAGGAATTGTGACAAAAACTTCTAAAAGGGTTAATCGACCCTCTATACCTACTTTCCTTCAAGAAGTATCCCCGGATATTATAAATCAATGTATTATTTTAGCATCTATTACACAGGATATTAATTTTGACAAAATTGAAATTAATCTGACAAAAAAAATTGCAACACTTAAGAACAATCGAGGCGAAATTGTATTGGAGCCAATAAACCCTATTGAAATTAGGAAGTCAATTATAAATATTAAATTTCCTAAATTTGAAAGGGTTAGTAAAAAGCAAGTTAGCCAAGATCCTTACTCATATCTTGGCTATTTTGCTAGTTTTCAACCTACTAAAAAAAAGGAGATATTAACTGGAAATAAATTAAAGGTTTCTAAGCAATTTCATGAGTTATTAGCATTTGAAAGCGAATTAACCGTAATAGCACCTTTTTATGATAAAAATTCGTTTATTAAAAAAGATGATTATTATAAAAGTCTTCTTAATTATCTAAAGGAACTTTCAATACTTCGTAAAATTTCAATAGTCCAATTTGATCCTGCTCAGATTAATGGTGGATTAGCTTTGGAATATAAAAATCTTGTATTATCAAATTCAGATGATAATTTAAATTTACAAGAGCAAATCATGCTTTTAAGGTGTACGCCGCAATTATCCCAGGATCTCAAAGTCAATAACCTATCAAAGAATGATTCATTAGAAAAAAAAGTAAAAATTTTTTCAATATTAATGAGTACATGCTATCAGTCTATTTTTGATTGTAATATTACAACTTATAATATTGAAGTTTCTCGCAGAATGTCACTTCGATTCTTATATAAATTTGAAATAGCATATAATTACTTGACAGAATGGATAAATAAATATACAACCCGTGAAAAAGGAACTAAGTGTGCAACTCAAGTAAGGGCTTTACTTACTGGGAAAGAATCACTATATAACATGTTTAATATTAATAAATCAGACAATTCTTTTAATATTAAACATGTTATTGATGGTGATTCTTTCAAAGTAAGAAAAAGAAAAAAAAATCAGGACTTAGAAAGCTATTCAGATCTAAACATAAATATCCCTGGCTTTGTAGGAAATATTTCATCAAGAAAACTTACAACTTTTATTACTGCAGGACCTCGCTTGCATCAATTACTTGAAGCACTTAATAATAATTGTGTACTTTTGGATATAATTGATGATGTTAGTATTACATGGTTAGAGAATATGAGAAAAGATGAATGAACTGCTTTTATTAAAAATATTAAAGGATATTAAAATTTTGTATTAATTTTTGTATTGTTTTGCTAGATTACTTTTATTGTAATATATTATTTTGTATAAGTGAAATATTGGTTATATTAAATAGGTAATTATATAATTTAAATAGCAATTATAATAAAATTTTTTATTAGACTTTCAATAACTGTCTATAGAAAATCTATTGATAGATTTTCCATAGATAGCTATACACAAAATATAATTGAAAGTCTGATAACGGGTTTTTATTTACAGATTATTCTTATATAATTATATTGATTTTTTTAATTTTTCGCAACTTGTTTTTGTGCTTTTCTATTAGTTTGGCAAAATACGAGTTTGTTTTTTGCAAAAAAAAGTATTAAAAAAGGTTATTTTTTTAATAAATTAGTAAAATTAATTAACTTAAAAAAATTTAATATTTCAAATACTTATCTTTAATTTATAAATTTTATAATAATTAGCTATGGATAATAAAGTTTTATGCACTTGTGTATTTTGCATGCAAGAAACTAATGGTTGTGGCAAATTATTAAGCATCTCTACTCGAACAAGGCATAGGAAGCGAGAAAAAAATCTTCAAAATTCTTTTCCAATTTCAAATAATACATCTAACAATATTTTAAATAATCAAATAAACATTGTTAGTATGGAGGATATTGAGGAAAATATTGAACAAAGTAAGATAAAAAAAATTTTTTGATTATCTTGAATTGATTTTTTTTTAATTGAATTAATCTTTTAGATTTAGAAAATGAGGAATTGGAGGAGAATGAATTGGATAAGGAGAATGAATCAGAGGAGGATGAATTGGATAAGGAGAATAAATCAGAGGAGGATGAATTGGAAGAGGAGTGTGAATTAGAGGGGGATGAATTGGAGGAGAATGATTCAGAGGAGAATGAATTAGAGGAGGATGAATTAGAGGAGGATGAATTAGAAGAGGGTGAATCAGAAAGTAGTGAAAAAATAAGTTCTGAATCAGAAGAGAGTTTTGATAATGCCGAATTTAATGGTAATTATTTTTCAATATTTTATTTAAAAGTTTTTTTAAAAATTTTAATATTAATATTTTTACATTTTAGATTTACCAAGTGAAATAATTAAAGGGCTTCAGCTTCTTTATATCAAAGATAAACATACAATTTCTGATCAAGCATTTAATGAAATATTAGAAATTTTTAATATTTCTAATGTTTCTCTTTATCGGCTTCGAAAAATTTTAGGAAATTTGGTTTCGCTAGAACCAAAATTTATAGACATTTGTTGGAATTCTTGCTGTGCATTTACTGGACAAAATGCTAATCTTAATACATGTCCTATATGTAAAGAGTCACGATATACAACTAAAAAAAAATCCAAAAAATCTCGAAAACAATTAGCATATTTTTCAATAATTGATAGCTTAAAATTGCAATATAAAAATCCATCACGAGCAAAAGATCTTAGATATCGGTATGAATATACATCAAAAAAAGAATATACTTCTGAGAATAGCAAAATTGGGGATGTTTTTGATGGTAATAGATATAAAACTTTAGTAGCATCAGGCTTATTTTTAGATTATAGAGATGTCGCTTTAATTGTATCTATGGATGGCTATCAAGTTTTTAAACAAAAACGAAATGACTGTTGGGTAATTTTGCTTTTAAATGCAAATCTTCCACTATCAAAAAGAGTAAAAAAGAAAATTTAATAATTAATATGGTTATACCTAGACCAAAATCTCCAAAAGATTTTAATAGTTTTTTACAACCATTAGTTGATGAATTAAAGCAACTTGAATGTAATTTTTTTAAAATTTTAAATTATATGATTAATAGTATTAAATATATTAATTAAATTAAAATTTTGTAGGTGGTGTAACTTGTTAT